CGCACAACTGGAAAGTGATGGAGCCGTGAGTGGAACCCAGGTCCTTTGACTTCTGCCTCCGTAACGAGCAGTAAGATTTAAAGAAAACAGGAGCTGAAGTGATTTTGACAGACTATTGGAGCTGAAGTGTTTTTGACAGACTATTTTTTTTTTCCTATAAAACTTCCTTTTCCCCAATTGATATTACTTATCTCTTTAGGTACTGTGCATATTCTTAGCTTAAACTTCTGGTTTCCTCAGACAGGAGGGTAAAGCTTTCATCATTGCTGTGAACTTCAGTTAGGTCTGCACTTCAACAGACAAAGGGTTTGTAGCCTTTAGTTTCTCTGTTGACGGTACTTGGGATATCTTTCTGTCTATTCTATTTCTTTACTCCATTGTTAGAAAAGCAGGGTCTCTCTAGGCCAGTCCTTCATATACATGTAATGAGGAAAGTATAAAAACAGCCCAGCCTCTTTTTATGACTTTTTCTTTAAAAAAATAAGGACTGACAAAGCACATTTTGTACACTTCCCCTATGCTTGTGTCTCAGCCTTAATTTCCCTTTTCCTGTTCTAATTGGTGTACAAAGAGATTCCAAGCCAAAGGTTTGTGAAGGGTGGAGGGTAAAGCTTTCATCATTGCTGTGAACTTCAGTTAGGTCTGCACTTCAACAGACAAAGCGTTTATAGCCTTTAGTTTCTCTGTTGACGGTACTTGGGATATCTTTCTGTCTATTCTATTTCTTTACTCCATTGTTAGAAAAGCACGGTCTCTCTAGGCCAGTCCTTCATATACATGTAATGAGGAAAGTATAAAAACAGCCCAGCCTCTTTTTATGACATTTTCTTTAAAAAAATAAGGACCGACAAAGTACATTTTGTACACTTCCCCTATGCTTGTGTCTCAGCCTTAATTTCCCTTTTCCTGTTCTAATTGGTGTACAAAGAGATTCCAAGCCAAAGGTTTGTAAAGGGCCCCTGGATAGAATTCAGAGGGTCTGTGAACTTTGATGAGAAAATAAATTGCACCTTTATTTTCACTAACCTGTAACTGAAATTCATCATATCCTGCAATTATGATGGAGACTACAAAACACAGTGGTATTAGCAGTACCTGTGACTGTTTGCAGTAAAAATTACAGATATTAATACAGCACTTTACAATGCTGGCAGGTACCTCAAAATACTGTTTATGTTTATCACTTGTTGGATGTTATAGTAGTTAATAGATCTGTGCTGGATCACGTTATTTAATGCGTTAATAAAGAAGCACATATATTGCAATACAACAATTTAAAAATATTTCGATAACTATATTTTAATATCGTTGGTTCCCTTTATAATGCTCTGTCTTTAAATCTTCATTTTAAAACATTCTGAGAAGGGGTTCTTTAGCTTCTCCAGGCTGACGAAGAGGTTCGTGATACAGAACAGGTCGAAGACTTCTACTTCAAGCTCTAGGTTACTCTAGGTTATTTTCCTCAGGAAGTCAGTTTCTTAGGGGAAAAGTCTCTAAGGATTACATTTTTCTTATGAAAGGTTTGGCATATTGTAAAATATATAGAACATAGTAAAAATATTTTTTGAAAAATATAGTGGTTAGGAAACGTTTTTTCCCAACAAGTAGAAATATATAACGGTGTTATAAATTTCAGATAATTTTAAAAGAATCGTCCCACAAGGTTAGTTCTTTCAAGCAAAGAGAACCAGGGCCGATTAGGGAATGAGCTCAGAAATCACTGGGGTTGTGCCCAAATGGTCCCTTTACCTGTCTAACTGGCTTGTTTGACATGTTGTTACCTACATTGGAAATCAAACTCCTCACCACTTGCGCTTCAAAACAGAGATTCACTCTGGGTATTGATCCCTGTTTTGATACATTTTAGCTTTAAATTGCACCTATATTATCCTTTTAGGCTTTGTTGTCATCTTTTAAAAAGTAAATTTTATTGAAGACTAACATTCAGAAAAGTACACATAGCATAAGCATACATCTCAAAGAATTTTCACAACTGAGCACACAGGTGTAACCAGCATCCAGATCAAGAATTTGGTGTCGTTTTTATTCTACTGTTGATAAATGCTATATAGAGAGCATTTGATGCATCTCTTTGACGGAGCAGAGGTTGTACCTGCAAAACTTTGCACCTTGCTGAGCTCTGATGGAGTCCACCTAAGGAGACCTTGGACTAGTGGGGTAAACAGAAGCCTTGGCTCAGGTTAAACCCTGTTATGACCACTTATGGACTGTGCAACCCCTGACAAATTACCTAATCTCTTTGAACATCAATGTACTCATTGATGTAAACGAGGATAAAATGTAAACTGAGGATATGAGGATAATATTTTTTCTTTTATGATTGTTGAGAATTAGAAATTATAAAATCAGAATGTCTAGTATATACAAGCAATAAATGAGAGACAGATGCCACTATCAGTAACTGCGAACACACCCACTAACACATTCATTTGTGGCCTAGAAATTTATTATAAGAGCGGGTTGTAGGAGACAGTGTGTTAACTAGAATTTTCAAACACTCCTGGACAATTTTTATGGGCCATTTAATTCACATCCTGCTTACTACAGAGTGAATAAGTTTTAAAAAAAGAGATTAGAATTCAATTATTCTTGAATTTCTAAGAAAATGAAATCCCCATTTGCTAAATGAATTTTGTTTCTTCTTTCGAGGTGTTGGAGAAAACTTGACAGATCCATCTGTTATAAAACCTGAAGACAAACAGTAAGTTAATTTATGTGTTATCATTTAGAAAATTGCATTTAACACATTGTACATGGTTTTAAAAATAATTTATAAACATATATCTTTTTTGCTTAGATCCAAGTAAGAGTGTGAGGCATCTTATGTATATAGATCCCAAACAATAATATTAAAAACGAAAAAGCATAGATTAGAAAATGAGGGTAATGGGCCGAGCCCGTGGCGCACTCAGGAGAGTGCAGCGCTGGGAACGCAGTAGCGCTCCTCCACGGGTTTGGATCCTATACAGGGATGGCCGGTGCGCTCACTGGCTGAGTGCAGTGTGGCTGGTCTCAAAAAGGACAAAAAAAAAAAAAAGGAGAAAATGGGGGTAAAAAGAAAATATGAAAATAAAATGAGATTAAATATGGAGTTAGGTTAGTACACATAAATGGAAATTATAAGGACCAATGCAATTGCCAGAATTTGGTTGCTGATTGGACTCTGAGATTTTCAGTGGCCCCAAACACAGGAGAAATATGGGTGAGTTTAGCCTCTGCTCTCTTTGACTGGAAAACAATTAATGTCATCAGAGAAGCACAGTTTCCTTTGTTGTCCGCACAACGGAGTCATTGCATTTTGTCATGCACAACGTTTTCCGTCCCATGCTTATAAAACAAAAGCCGAGAGCATAAAGTGTGCTCTTCAATAACGGCAAGTCTATGAGAGACCAAAACAATGGGGCTTAAACACGAAGCATCAGATTGTCTGACTTAATTCTGAGCTAAAGTTTGAATTGCATAGAGGGTTGAGTGATGTCCTGTGAATATCCACGGGCATTTCATCCCATCAGCAGGCTTCCGGGAAGACTTGACAGAAGAGGATCTGAGGCTGTCGTCTTCTGTTAATGGTGGGGTAGAAAGAAGTAATGATACTCATTAAGGTCCGATCAATGTGGCAGACGGCAGCGGTTCTCAGCTATGAGCCTGCATCGTGATCACCAGGAGAGCTTGTTAAAACACAGATTTCTGGGCCCCACCACCAGAGTTTCTGATTTAGAAAGTTTGGGGTGGGACCAAGTAATATGCATTTCTAACAAGTTCCCAAGTGATTCTGATGCTGCTTGTCCACATATCACACTTGGACAACTGCTAGCATACAACATTTTTACTTCTTAGTTGTCCTAAGTGTCTATTCTTGGCCCCTGGGTGGTAGAAAATGTATATAAAACTATATATATAAGCAGGCAACCCCGATGCAGTACTTGGACAACTGCTAGCATACAACATTTTTACTTCTTAGTTGTCCTAAGTGTCTATTCTTGACCCCTGGGTGGTAGAAAATGTATATAAAACTATATATATAAGCAGGCAACCCCGATGCAGGAAAATCTGAAGTTTTTACTTTTTCTTTCCCAGAACTCATGTCATAAATACTCACTGCCTTAATGCTTTGTTCTTTTACTGAACGATTTAACCTAAATATGGTCTCATATATAGGCATCTATGCAGAGAGGTCTATCTTCTAAGAGCCTATTAGATATTTAATTGGACTAGGTAAACCAGAGAAGATAAAGGTGATCTATATGGCTCACATGCATCTAATTTCTATGATATTTATTTGACTATGGAGTCCCTTAGGGTACACGTAAAGACTTTATTATTTTTCTTTACTCTGCTAAAGTGTTTTTAGTTAAGGATATGAATTCTTCAGCAGCCCTGTGTGTGCAAGGGTTTGTAGTAGGAACCTTCTACTGTAAGTTCTTTCTTTATAATTTAGCAGTGAAAATTTTTTTCATATATAATGAAGCAAGCTTAAGTATATATATCATTTATTAAATTTATTGTTTCATCTCTATCATTTATTAAATTAGAACATTTTTAAATTTATTAAATTTAATATCATATTTATTATTTATTAAATTTTGACCTTGGCAAATGTCATTTAATATGACCTGAATATCCCATCTTTTAGAATTCTAAGATAATATTATCCCACTTGACAGCTGAGTATTTTTAATTGTATTCTGTAGGCTAGTGAGCCTCAATTTCTGTTAAGGTCACCTGGGAAACTTAAAAAATACAGAAATTGCCGAGGGTTGGTATCAAATTAGACTTTCTGAAGATAAGGCCCTGATATCTGTATTTTTAAAAAGTTTCCCATGTAATTCTATGGACAACCGGGGTTGAGAAACTCTCTTATGGCAACTGTATTTTTTGTGACTTGAGAATAGAAACTCTGGAAACTGATAGGATGGCATTGCTATGGCCTGCCTGCTTTTGTGGGGTCACCAAATTTTGGGTGCAGTTGGACTTCATGGTGAAGATACCAAGAAGTCCTATTTTTCTCACAACGGTGGGAATTGGGGAATTACGTGTAATTAGTTCAGTGAGGCTCACGTTTTTGAGTGCCTCTGCGTGTAAAGCCCTTGTGATACAAAGCATCGGCCATGGACCAACATCAGCAGCATCTGGGAGATTGTTAGAAATGCAGAATCTCAGGGCTCTCCCTAGACCTATTTATTCATTCATTCATTCATTCATTTAATTTAGTTTTGGGGGCAGCTGTCTGGCACAGGGATCAAACCCTCGACCTTGGTGTTATCAGCACCACACTCTAACCAACTGAGCTAACCAGCCAGTCCTCCCTAGACCTATTGAACAAGAATTTGAATTTTCACAAGATCCTCAGGTGATTTGGTGTAAATTAAAGTTTGAGGAGTATCGATTTAAGTAAGTGCTTTTACATGTTATTTACTTTAGCCTTAGCAACAATCTTGAAAGTAAGCATTTTCAATCCCAGTTCACAAATGAGAAAACTGAGCTCAGTGAAGATTGCAACTTGCATACGAGGAGAAGGGATCAGTCAAAGGGAATAATCCTCTACCAAAAGAGAAGATATTTTTGTGGTACCAATTCTAATATCGTTTCTAATGCCTATCATCCTTGACTTTCCCCAAACTTCCGCCTCAGTTATGGGTAGTTCGTGAATCTATCTTTTTAAGTTACTGCCTTAATAGTTTTGGGCATTTGACAAGTATGAAATGATGAGATGTTCTTTACTAAATCTATGTATAGATGGCACTAATTAGCATTTCCTTGCATGTGGAACCAAGCTACCACCTGCTTTTCCTGTGCTGTGAAAAATCCAGAAAACGGCTAGTTGTGTTTTTTAAAAAACTTGCTTGTCTGAGACTGCAAGGCTCCAGGCACGCTGTAGGGCATAGATGCAAGTGAACGTCCCCACAACCCGCCTTCACTCTCCCCTGCACAGGGAATGGTTGAATCCCTGACACATACATGTCATAGTGATTTTGATTCTTTTGTCTTCACTTTCACAAAGCTCACAGGGAGAAATGATTTAAGGTACAGCTTTCATCTGAGAGTCAATGTTACATCTCTAAGTTGGGATGCTTTACTGGGAGGAAAGAAATGTCAGGTACGGAATGCAAATTAGTGATGCTGGAGAGACCATACAAAAGAATTCTTCAATTTAAATGACTCAAATAGCACCCTTACTTTTCACTTAATCAGCATCACAGAGTTCTTGTCTAAATACTGAGTGATTCCGTAGTACTTTTTTGCCACCTTCAGTTTCCTCTTATTGAAGTTCCTTACCAGATGGACCAAGAGAGAGGAATAGTTAACGAGAGGCAGCTTCTGCAGCGGGGTAAATACCACCAGAGCTGTACTTTGTAAGAGCGATTGAGTGACCGGGAAAGTTAATCCTGGGCGTCTGTTCACTGTGTCTTCCCAAGAGATTTCCTCCACCTACTCGCTGCAGAGCGGAGAGGCGATCTGAGATCAAACTGACATCAGTCCCATTCTGCGCTTGGCACATCTTCAGAGCAGCTACTGTTATTCTGCCAAAAGGAAGTGGAAATTGAGATAAATGTTTCAATACTCGGATGGAAAAAAGTCCATTTTTACACCATGTCCCTTTTGAAAAACCGCATTCCTTAGAAGCAAAGTTTATTGTTTCCTTTTGTGATCGTTGGCTTTTCTTTTTTCTTAAGACGTGGTATTTAAGAGCAGTAATTGAGTTCAGATTTTCAAATGTGCTGTTTCCACTCTGCATGTCATTAAAATAAAATATTAGCTTTCATGAAGTTTCTTTGGAAGTGTTTCTGGTGTGCTCTGTTCTGTGGTGTGCGAAGTGTCAAGATCTGAGGAATAATGGTTGTATGTGATATGATAATGGATGAACATTGATCCTGTAATCTGCTAAGGATCTATTATAATTATAGAGTATTCAAAATGTGCCTGATATACACTGATTCTATTTGTAATTTTGTCACTTCCATTGAGCATATGTAGTTTACTTCCCCCAACACATTGTTTAATGTGTCTTTCCACAAAGGGCCCAGCTATAGCAGTTTGCTGGGTAGGAAGTAGCTTTTGAAAAAGCCACAAGTACTGGATATAGGGTTTAGTTGGGTATTTGCTTTTGAGGACAGTTATTTTAAGGAATGCATTTGGGTTTGAAACAATGTTACGAGGATACATCAAAAAGTTCCTGAAAAAATTGAATTAAAAGATAACACCAATTTTTCATGAGCCTTTTGAAGACCCCTGGTATATGCATCTTTTTAGAAGGTGTGTTCTAATAGCAAATTTATTTTATTTTATACCTTACCTTTCGGATAGTCTAGTAGAACATTTGGTAATGAATGTCATTCTCTCACCCCATATGCATTGAAAAGGGTTTTGCTGTATTTTGTTTTAATGTGGTACATAGAAAATTCACTCTTCTATCAGATTAGCGTTGAAATGAGTTTCACAGTAGGTCTTGGAGTTGGGCACAAAGATGTAAGTGCATTTGAATTTTAAATTTGCAAACCTAACATTGTTGCTTCCCCAAAGTGCTCTGTTCTTTGTTGGCTCCTTCAAGTTTACTGGGTTACTATGGGATACTGTTCGGTATCTCAGAGAATCCTAGTTGAGCTCCTTTTTCTTAGCTGTGATCTAATTGATATTCTGATATTTCCTCTAGATCAAGAGGAATGGTGTTTGGACCAGCCAATTTAGGGGAAGATGCAATTAGAAACTTCATTGCAAAACATCGTTGCAACTCCTGCTGCCGGAAGCTCAAACTCCTGGGTATGCTACAAACAATTCTATTTTTCTCTAAGTAAATCTCTCATAGAATGAATCTACTCATAGAGTAGAAAATCTTAATCACATTTTTATCTCGTTTGCAGTCATTCGCAGAACCTGACTTTCTGACTGCAAAAATTTTCAAGTCTCTAAAGGGATTAAAAGGACAGGGATTTACTTTAGGTTCTGCCAAAATGTGATAAAACAACATGGGGCCCAATACTTGTCACAGTTACTCTAAGGGAAAAGTTCCGCTAACTTAAATGGGGTGAAATCAGACCGAGGCAGGTCTCTGCCCCTCCTTTTTGGGTGCTGCCTGCTCCCAGTGGACGGCTGCACTGTAGTGCCCACAGCATTCTATCCTATCTAATTTACACATTGGGCACTTGGGAGGGTGGTGTATGGAGGGCAACAACATTGTCAATTAAACCTGCCACTTAAAACACACATTGCAATATTTTTTGAAAATCTGATTCGATATGGCACACTTTCCCTGAAACCAATATAGTCACCACAGAAAACAAGCAAGCAGCTGGAGGTCTGTGTCCTCCAAATTGGTGGTCCCAGCTTAGCTCCGTTCTTTTCTTTTGTCTCAGAAGGGATGCTTGATGCCTGCCTCAGCTGGCTCACTATTTTCCTTAGGTCACACCAAACTTGTCCTTACAGTGGAATTGTATGTATTTTAGGCTGAGTATAGTCCTTCCTGCTGTATCATAAATTACCATACCCTGAAGTGGAAATCAGTTAAAGAACATCCTCCACTGTAAATTGGGATGGAGCAGGTATAAATTTATAACAAAAAAGGGCAGTTTTTAATCTTGCTGGAGTTCAAGATAAAAGGAGCTCTTGTGGGCAAAGACATAGCAAAATATTGGGCATTGGAGCAGACCTCCGGTTCCAGTGGGAACGCAGTGTGTCCACCAGGGGTGATGGTGGTGGTGGGTATGTGGGGTGGGGAGATTAATGGGGCAGTCAGAGAGGAGAGGGCCCTAAGTGTCACAAGCACCCAGGACTTGCTCTCACAAATTACACACCAGTCCTGGTCTCTTCTCTGGTCAGAAGGAGCCCAGGAAGGGGTTGGGGCTGGGCTGAGGGATGTCAGGGGCCCCAGGTAAGGGAGCTGACAAATCTCCAGGTCATCCCATGATTGCAGGCTGGAGTCTGGATCATTAATTTCAGGTCCTCAGGTACTGGCCTCCCCCTCAGTCTGATTCACTGTACCCTGGACAGGGCAGCCTTGGTTCTTGAGGGCAATGGGACTAGATCTGATCAGCCAGGAGACAGGGAGGCTTGAGACATAACTCACTGTTTCTTGAACTTGAGCCCCATTAGCTGTTCTGGATGATTGAGATAATTTTTTTCCAGTACACTGGTGGGTTTTGATTGAGTAATTCATTAATTCCTCTACCTCTAGTCCTAATTCATGTTTCCTTTCAAAACCCTAGTTAGTTTTAAACTAATATTTAAGTGGAAATAAGAAATAGCCTCATTTACTGAGAGCTTTGGTATTCTGAATAAAAAAAGTTTAGTCTGGAAAGCAGGATTAGAGGTGATTTTTCTTTTTTGTTTGATTGTGTTTTATTTTTTATTTTTTAATGAGAGGCAGTTTAGAACACTATAAAGGGTATGGGATCTAGAGCCAGACAGGTGGAGCTCACATCCCAATTCTGCTTTTTACTAGCTATATGATCTTGGGCTTGGGTTTCCTCATCCGCAAACGGGATAATAGCACCTGTCTCATAAAGTTGATTTGAGGATCGAATTAAGTAATATATGCATATGTCCAATAAATGTTAGTTATTATTAAAATATAATATGTATTTTACGTCCGGATAATCCCCATTTAACGTTAAAAAACAGTACAAGAAATACATGTTTATGGTGGCAAATTTAATCAGTAGAATGCAAAGAGGTACATCACCTTTTAAAGCCAACTGTCCTCCCTACTCTTCTCCCAAATGTTACCCCTATTAATATTTTTGTTAAATCTCCTTTTTTGAATGGAAGAAGCAGGCCTTAGGAAACATAGGATCTGATAACTGGCCTGTGATCTGATCGTTATAGCCGGTACCAAACCTGAGGGACAGCTTTTGTTGCAGGAAACCGATCACTGAAATCTGGAGCCCACCATTTTGGCTGACCTCCCTGACCCTGCCAATCATTCAAAGGTGAACACGCCCTGTTTCCAGTTTGACGTCACTTAAGCCTGGCCAGGTCATGCCTTACAGGACACTGCATATCGATGAAGCAACCAAATCTTTCCTCCCCTGCTTGCTGCAGTGAACTGTGCCTAAAACAGCACAGGCTTGTCAGAGTCGCACATGGGCGACGGGGTGCGGCAGGGGCTTAGTTTGGGTGTGGTCCAGAGTTTGAGTTCCTTCCATATGTTCACAGCCTGAGGAAGCAGCGACCTCTCTGAATGCTTGGCAAAGCCTGAAGTCCAGTCTGTCTGCATAAATGGTATGTTCTTGGGGATCCCCCACAACCGTCTTCATTGTCTTCCTTGCAGATTTAAAAAGAAATGACTACTCTCCGGCAAGGATAAATTCCACCTTTGGACTTGAGGTCAAAATAGAACCAGCCGAGGCACCTCCAGCCGGGGAAGGGGGTAGAAATTCCCCAGATCATACCCGACTGTGAAAAGGGGTGGAGCCTGAAGAAGCCTGGCCCTTCCTGCCACCAACTCCAAGGTGATGTAGATGGACTGACCAAACACTGATGACGGCAGAGCCTCCTGGCTTTACCCTGAGTGTCTCTGGGCCATGCTTTCTGAGCCTCATGTCTCCCCCTGCCCAAAGGCCTCTCTAGCATCTGATGAATGGTTCCTCCTAGGTACTGACCTCTGTGCAGAACTCTGCATCCTCAAGCTCCAAAGGAAGACCCTTGGACGAGTCAGCTGGGAATACGGTTCCTTTATACCTCATTGCTGTTGCTGGTTGCTTGAACACTTGGAGCAGAATGCTGTGCACTAAAGAACCAGGAGGATGCGTGTAATTTATTTTCTCACTATGTGTACAGACTCTGCCCCCCACCGCTACTCATCACCTCACCCACAGATTGTATTTATGTATATATATGTATATACGAAAGTTATTTGACTTCCTCCACTCTCCTTTCCAGCAGCACAGGGTTTTGAATAGCAAGAACCAAGCAAAACAGTAGAATGAGGGTATGTTTGCCCAGACTGGAGCACAAACTAACCAGTAAAACGTTGGTATCCTGGTGAAATCTAGAAGGGTTTGAGGTATTGTCAGTGAATCATGTGATGCCTGGGCATTTCAGGTTTCTCTGAAAGAAAGGAAAAAGGAAATCTAAAACAAATGCCTTCACATCTTTTTTTTTTTTTCAAAACAAGAGACCAAGAATATGTAAAACTGGAAATTATTAAGAAAGGGTTTCCCTTTCTTTAAGCTCAGGGTACAGTTTGTTAGAGAGTTGACTAAGTAAACTTCTAAAATACCACTCCCTTTTCCAAAGCTAGGGATAAGATATTACAGGTTAAATTACTCCATGTCAGGTGTATGGGGAAAGATGTGGTTTCAGATGGAAAACGTGCTTCACTGCTGTTTGTTTCCTCCCACTGCAGAGTTCTGGTGGCCCAAAGAGTGTGTGTATATTTACAAGTAATGCCTAAGAACATCAGTTTCAGAGGCTTGAAGTGGAGGTTGCCTGGAAGCTGCACTGTGTGGCATCTTTGGGGGGTCAGTCGTCCTTCATGCACGCTGGGCCCGGTTGCCCTACCTCAGAACAAGCACGAGCTTTTCATATAAGGAGAAACGGAAGGCTGGGAATCCTCCCCCCTCTACCCCTGCATCTCCTTTCTTATTATAAAGTGTTCCAATCTACCAGCAGCAAATCTCCTGGGTTTGAAAAATTTCAGCTTATCTTTATCTTTATTCCTTACATTAGCTGACTTGCTTCTGAGCCTGCTTTTTAAATCTTGCACTCCTTCATTCTTAGGTCATACTTCAAGGGAAATGTTGCACAGGGGGTGGGAAGCTGAGGATTTAGTTTGCTAATGATGTGTCTGATACTTGTGAGTTTGAGTAGTGTAAGGGCTAATTTATACCCCCTTTACTTTGGACTTGGGGGTGGTGGGAGGTGGGAAATTTGGGTGATTTCTTGATTGGCAATGAGGAGAAAACATTAATACTTTGGGGGGGAGCTTACTGGCTTTATCCTATTCTATGAATCAATAGGGGATCTATTGGTATTTACTTCAGTGCTATGTTCAACTGAAAGAGGCAGAGTTTGCTTGTCAAGAGCTGAACTAAGGCATCAACTTATTGGTCAAATATTTGTTACTAGAATGGAACTTGAAAGCAAATACATTTTGATTTCAAATTTCTGTGATGTGCTTTTCGTTTTATTTTGTTTCAAGAAAAATCAACAGAATAACATTTTTCAAAGATGATTGCTGGGAAAGGCCATGGTGGGATTGTTTGCACACTAATACCAATGTGACAGTCTTGACTTTGAGTGATTCATGACCACAAAAGGGAGTATTCATTCGTTTAATTTTATTCAACAGATACTTTATGAAGTGCCTTCTCTGTACTGCCTTAGTGATGAGAATGCATTTCTATGCTCTCTGAAGGCTTTATATCTTATGTTTCTTTTTGTTTGTTTTGTTCCAAGTTTGGATTTCTAGTCAATGCTGAAAAAAATTTGACTTCTGGACAAATGTTCAATCTAGACATGTGTCCTATACCCTATCTTCCAGTGGGCAGTAGGTTCAGACAGGGATAAGAGAATTAGGGCAAATAAGACGACACAGTGAGGGTTGGTTTTAGGAACCTCTGAGGTTCTTGTCTGAGCACAAAGCGCATATCACAGATGGGATCTGAATCTGGGGGCCAGAGAAGCAGCCAGGTTCCAGGGAGTCCTCTCCTGAAGACATCCAGTGCGCAGGAGTTTCTTTCCATGAGGCTGTGTGTTCCTGCAGTGATTTCTGCCCCTTACTATCTTTAAAGCTTCTTCTTAAAGATCTGGGGAATGAAGTCAGATATAGTTTTGGGTATTTCATGCCCTGTTGTTATTTTCTGTGGTTTTGCAAAACAAGCACTGTGTGACTAAGACTTCCCAACAACCATTTAGTCAATGCTTAAAAAAATTTTTTTTGGTGTTGGTTGTTATGTTTGTTACTGTTGCTTTAGATGAGACTCTGGTTCTAGAAGTCATGACACAGATGCCCTTATTATGTCTTCTTGTCTTTCTCAATCGGTCATCAACATCTAGCACAAAGCATGGCACATAATGTGCTTTCAACAATATTTGTTGAAAGAAATAATAAAAAATAATGAGAAATAATCAAAAATCCGCTTCAAATGATAGTGGATTTCATTCACTAGGTAATAAGTCAGATGTGAATTTTTAATCTAGAAGGAAATGATTACCAATTTCTTAAGACCCAACACAATTCTTTTGATGTCTCTCTGTTTTAATTTTTCTAGGAAATAGCTTTTCACAACCTACACCTTGTCTATTGAATTCTCAACCAGTTTGTGCCCTTATCACCACTGGTGATAACGCCAGAGTGCAGTCCTTTACTGGTGACTATTGAAATGAGATGACAACTTCCCAGAAACCTCCTAGAAATAATCATCACTTTATTATCCTTTGAAAAGAAGATTGATAGAAAAGTCATTTGAAAGATGGTTCATTACCATGTCCTCGGATGGTTTCTTTACTCACATCTCTCCAAAGCATGAGAAAGGGAGGATTATTCTCTGAGGTCGGAATTTGAAGGCTGTGTGTTTGCCTCTTTGAAGTCTTGGTATTTAATTTTCTGTAGTCATTTCTTGGGCAATTTTCTAAGAAACTAGTTGAAGCTAATTTATCATAAGTTAAAGTCAAATGACAGAAAAGATTTTTCCCCCTTAACAGCATTTTATTCCACAGAGGTTAGCTTCCGACAGAAAATGAGACTTAAATAGCATTTCAAATCTCCAGCCACATGGGTGGGTATACAGAATAGAAAGGATTCTGGAAACCACACTGATTTTTTATTTAGCACAGTTATTATTTTGTGACTTTTCTCTCTAGACTATGATGTACAGATAATATATTGTATTTCTGTGAAATGCCCTCCTAAAAATAATTAGATAAGTTGCTTAATTTTTCAAAGAAAGACTTTTAGTACTTAAGGGTTATCAAACCTCGGTCTCTATCGTTTGCAGACTTTTAATATAACATTATATAATTTGTTTAACCTTTCTGTTAACCCCTAACTCTGAAATGGAGATGAAGGGACTTACCTTGTCAAATGAAGGTGAATGATAGTAAGAGAGCATTTATAAAGTCCTTGGAGAGTCTTGTTTAAAAGGCTGCTTGTGAGCATGGGATCTGGTTCAATAAATAATAAGGGCTTTTCATTTTTGATATTATGTGATCATTATTTAATGTTTACAGAGGATGCTCAGTGGACCTATTTCAGTATAAACACAGAAGTGATTTCTGCTATTTCTCCTTTTCCAAGGGGAAAAAGCTCACTGCTCCTTTTTTTTTGTTTGTTTTAAGTCTTAATTAAATAGTTCAAAATCAGGAAATTTACCATTTCACAGTATCTCCTATTTATTTTGCTTTTTGATGGATTTAGGTTTACCCAGCTAATTTTTTTTTTGCCATCCTCTCCCTGAAGAAAGCCTCCCAAGAGAAGAAGTAAAGCCCAAAGCTCGTGCCATAACTGATGATATTTTTGGGGATGAAAAGAGAATAGGTTTAGATGCTTGTAAAATCTGGTGTTTTAACATTTTTTAAATTAATTAACAGTGATTTAAATTTTGTCACAATAGATAGGGTTGTTTAGTAATAAGAAAATTCTGGTGTATAATTTACCAGCATCCTGGTGTTTTAACATTTTTTAAATTAATTAACAGTGATTTAAATTTTGTCACAATAGATAGGCTTGTTTAGTAATAAGAAAATTCTGGTGTATAATTTACCAGCATGTTCTTTCAGCAACTAAATTCCTTTAGAATTCTCATTTTCTCCTAGTGAATTTTTTGATCGTGAACCTAAATTAGTCATAAAGTCCTCACAAATATGATGGTAGAAACTCTCTTGCTAATGACTGTTCCAGATGTGGACATGAAAATTGTCTTCCATTGGAGGGATTTGGAGGAAACCTCACTGATGTCCTGTGTGTGCACTTTGGCTTCTTCT